ACAACATAACTTCGATTTCAAATCAAAACATTTATTTACGAACGGAAAACGGTAAGTTGATTTTTATTGTTTTTAAACTAAAGCATGCTTTTGCGGATCTGTTGTGATTGTTTGTATTTCTACTCCTTTTTATTCTACTTCTCTATACTTCTAGCCCTATACTTGTGTGCGTTCGGTACAACTACCTCCTATCTGTGCTGTGCTCTTTTCTGTCTTCTTGGATAATCCCACGACGATGCAGCAAGCGGGAAACGACGAAGCTTGGCACCCGGGTGTCTATTATTAATGGGTTGGGTGGGCGTCCATATCTGACGATACGTGCGCACGATTAATTTGCCTACACCCAACCATTAAATCACACTCAACACAGAAATTGGAACGGACTCACCAGTTGGTTTTCGCCGCTGCTGTTATCGGCAGCGACGATGATGTTCAACCGTTGGACGGCCAACGATTTCCACGTGGGTGGACGGTGATCTCACCAACAATGGCAGTTGGTATCCACCAAGCCCCGATACGCGATGAGAAATTTGATCGCTTTCCACTGCACAAGGTGACGGTTGCCGGGATCTTTCGCCCCGGGAAAGCAGGTGATGTCGTCGAAAGTTGGATGTAGTCGTCGGCTGTTGAAATTAATATTAAGCACAAAGCACAAATGTTGTTCGACGAGCACATTACCTGGCCTAGATTGTTTTTCAATGCACACAAAGTCTAACCTATGCCGCACACTACATTTAGTTTGATTTGCTATAACTAAACAATCTAGTCTAGTCTAGTCTACACATACACAGCCAGTACTTGAAAGAATCCTGGAAAATGATACATCTATCATTTTTCTTGTCATTATTAATGCTTGCTGCACATCAAGGATGTGAAACAAACAATAAAGCGGCCAGGCCTACTGTGTAGCGTTAAGTTAATTTTTGTGGAAGTGAATGTTTACCATGTCTACTTAATAAGTATAGACAGTGGTTAACATTTAATCCACAGGTAATCAAAGAGCGGGGACATACCGTACCAACCGCTCCGTATGCAGGATTTGAAAATAGGCTATATAAATCGTTGGGAGTGACAGAGCTAAGAAAGTTAATGTACACTCCTTGATTGTCCGATCTCCTGGGATGGAACACAGGTATTTACCCCTTGTGTTCGAGCGTACAGTCCTCCCTCCGTACAAGCGTGGACGGCACCGCCAACCCACTGCCATCCCTCAATCGATCCAGCCGACCTCAGTCGAAGGACAACAGAGAGCGGTGTGCGGACGTAACCTACAAGGAGGGAATGCTGTATTCGCCTAGGTTATAGCGCCCTTGCTCGCTACCATTTTCTTCTAGCGGTTGGGACCTGAGCACTAACTCTTGTCCTAGCCCTATATGGCATATGGTTATAGCGCCATTACTCGCTTTCTGAAAAGAGAAGAAGGGAAGGGAAGGAGAGGAAAAGGACTTGGGAAAAGGAAATGCGGAATTCCTTTCCTCATTAGTATTTGTATCGTCAACTTTTATGAAAACTATATAAATCATTCTTCCTTGGTCAGAGGTATTATTACGACATTTGAATAAGATTGTCTTATCATTTCCCTAATAAAAATAACCATAAAAGAGAGCTTAACGACGTGTTCGGGGTATCATCCAAACCCTATGTGGGATGGTTTACCTATCCGAGATACAGTTCGTTTATGGTATTTGTTTATTAGGGTTGTTATTCAAAATTTAATGTTATAATGATCAACATAGCTTTGGATTATCCAATATAAATCGGTAACACTGTCCTGCAACCGATGTAGGAAGCACCAAAGAATATATATAGACAAATCTCAAAAACACAGTTTTAACTGATAGTACTTTATAAACATCAAACTGTCCAATATTGGATCCTGCCAATTATAAGCACCAGAATAAATTGCAACGGACTCACCAAATTGATCCATGAACGATGTCCTGTTACAGTGATCTCCATACTCAAGAGTTGGTTGACTGGGCTCGAAAATAGGTTTTCCTATTCTTAGTATCGGACAAGCGAACCAAAAATCCTGTATGGCCAATCAGTTGATTAGTCAGATGATGAAAGCACAATTGTGGCTGAATGGATTCAGGCTGCTAAACGGAGAATCTGACCCACTTGTAAGGAACACAAAGAGCCCCAAAGAACAACCAATGGTGCTAGGTTCCGAGATGATCAGTGGTTTAAGAACTCTGGGGTGGCAAATAGTTGAAGGAACACTAATTACAACTTCACAAAAGTCTAGAAAAAACGGAGCAAAAATTGACGGCTGAAAATTTTCTAAGTCTCTCTTCGAGCACAGCTCACTACGATCTGATTTGCTATAACTAAACAATCAACGATAAATTAGAATTTAAGTACAAGTAAAACCACGTTGTTTTCACTCACTATACAAAACTATACATTAACGCGAACAAAACGACACACTTCCACTGTAAACTGCGGTTCGGACGAAAGTGAAGCGAAATCGTGACCCTCAGATTAGGGAAGGTGACTCTCTCTTTCCCCAACTTTCTCGAAGGTTTCCCTGGACTCGGCCTTGGGAGAAACTACGCAAGGTCGAGTGGCGTTACTCGCGAGACATTCCAATTTTAACGTAAATCAGCTAGTGTCGTTTCGCTACTGGCATAGATTTTGGCGTATGGATTTGATATATTTCGTGCTAATTTTATTTATGTCTAATTTAATATTTACAGCATGGAGCGACGGCTACAGTATGTTATTGTTGTATGGGCACCCTTTCACGCTATACAAGCAAACAGGATCGAAGCCATCCAACGAAACTTCATAAGATACGCTTTACGTGTACTGCCCTGGAAAAATACGGCTAACTTACCACCTTATGAAAAACGGTGCAAGCTGATTCATCTAGATTCGTTGGCAGCAAAGAGGAAACTACTACAACGACTCGTTTTGTTTGGATTTCTCAACGATGATGTGGATTGCAGCTCTCTTTTATGCCAAATATCCATGTTTCTCGAGACAACTACGCAACTACACGCTGCTGTCGCAACCTGTTAATCGCACCAACTATGGGTTAGTAAAATTAGTAAGTCTATTTATAGACAAAGGATTTGACACTTACCCTAGTAAATTATCTGTAAAACTTTATTTTGAAGATCTAAAAAAATAAATAAATCAGCACCTGGACTAAACGAATACCAGTCAGCTTCCACAACAAACCCATCCTTTGGTCTCCAGGTTCGTGCAGGCTTCGTAAACTGTCTTAATTCTTGAATCAAGGTATAGTTGATTTGGTCAATACTGAGATATATGGTAACAATGGCACATAACGAAAAGTCTTGGTTGACCGCTGCATCTAATGCACTCCAGGATCCCTTGCTATAATTGTCGCTTACACGGACCCTCTCCGCTATGGACAATAATACCAACAATCAATACGACTAACGATTTTAAATTGGCTCACTACTTGACTAGCCTATTGGTCCCAAGCAAATCGATTAACGTATCCCATTCTAGTCAAAATTCTAGTACTACACAGCAAAAAAAGTTATTGAATATTACATCGAAACTGCTGCAACCAGGTCAATCCATCGGTTGTGTAATATCACATTGTACAATGTACATCGATTTTGCGAACAAAATTACATCCATTGATGTAATATTGTATCAGCGTTTTGTTATTACACAGCAAAAAAATAATTTTGATATCACGTCAAAGTGGATGCACTACAATCATGTAGAAAATATGGTGTAATATTACTTGCTAAAAAGGACAAAATTATCATTAATACAATGCATGAACTGACATTACGCTGCTTTTACTGCATTTGTTTATTTATGTGGTCATAAAAATTACATGAAATTTTCGACATGATTGTAGTGCATCCACTTTGATGTGATATCAAAATTATTTTTTTGCTGTGTACATCATTATTTCATACATCAGCTTGAACTACGTTCATCGATATTACATTTTTTTTTGCTGTGTACACAATGTTTGTTTTGATTCGCTATGAAAGTTTGACAAATAAAATGAGGGGTTCGTGGATTTTCCTATGTTTCAAGGGGTGAATCGATTAGCTTGGGACCGAAGAGAGTACCAGAGCTGAGCCAAAAAGTTGAGCTCGTTTCTTCGGGACCTACTAGCATAGAGGTAACTCTAAGACTAGAAGGTCTCGAAATAACGTGCTAAACTTTTTGGCTCAACTCTGGTACTCTCTTCGGTCCCAAGCTAATCGATTCACTCCTCGAAACTAACCCCTCATTTTATCTGTCAAACTTTCATAGCGAATCAAAACCAACATTGTGTAGTAGGAGAATTTCGACTAGAATGGGGTACGTTAATCGTTTGCTTGAGACCAATAGGCTAGTCAAGTAGTGAGCCAATTAAAATCGTTAGTTTCGTATTGATTGTTGCTACTAGTCTTAGAGTTACCTCTATGACAATACTGCGATGGTCAGCACTATGGAAGTCATATGACACAGCGTTTGGAGTGCTGATGAAATCATGAACAATATTATTGTGAACTTAACTTAAATTCCAACGTCCAGGAAAAAATATTTACTATTGTTGAATATCCTTGGGAACGGTAGTTATGAAACCATTCCTAGGCCCATAACCTCTTAGCAAAATGAAAGTCTAGTCTAGCTGGTTATGGGTTTGATTGACTAATGATTATTTATTTCAGAAAATAAAATAATGCTACTACTGTGCGTCAACAGATCTAAAGTCAATTGAACGCCGACTATGAGATCGGGGGTGAGTTGAACATACTCACTTGAACAGTGGACCATTAGGCCAAAATACACGGTTCAAGTGAGTTCCGGTTTACACAGGAAAAATAAAAATAAAAATAAGAAAAGAAGTTACCAACACTGGAGAAGACATAACGAACACAACAAGGAATATCACTTCCAACGCTGCTCGTTAAAATATCAAATGAATGTATTTTTAATCGGGTTGTTTACAAAGAGTTTGAGTACACTCGAAGGATTTCGGATCGTTTTAGACTATAAATCACTAAATATCTCGTCTGCAGCTACGATCTGGGTATTGCTTTTGGATTGAGTTACATACTTAGTTGGTTAACTACATATGATATAGATTTGCTAAAGCGATCGGAATTTACTAAAAAGATTTTCCCTTCATGGATCGGAGATTTGTTTTCATACGGATCCAGTTCCCTTCAGCTTTGTCACATAGGCTTACACAATAATGTCAACATTTTACACGGTTACAATTACGTAGATCAGAAATGGCTGTTCGAATTTGTTTTATATCAAATGGTGCTTCAAAGTGGCAAGTATCTTTTGAAATGTAGCCTAGCCCTATAATGAGTGCATTCCGCAAATTTTACTACTGGTATATGCTACTGGTAACGCCAAATCGGTAATGCCAAAGGTTCCAATTTGCTAATAATTAATCAAGCTGCTAGATTACTACATGCTACATCTGTTATAAAATGGAAATATTATCACATTTTACCATTTCTAACACGTTTATTATTGTTACTATTTTCTGTAGTTGTATAATAATGCGTTTTATAATTGACTTTGGTAAATACTCCATTCTAACGAAGCCATGTCAAGATGTGGATATATTCCTATATTTAATAATAATAAAAAAGAACCTCAAACAACATAAATGAGATATAAACTTTCTTGAGAATATTGCGATAGTAGTTCAGTAAAGATTTATAAACGTATTCAGCTCTAAATTGGCACGCTAAAATGTTGCGCATAGGGTTAAAGCTACTCGTCGTGATGTTCGATACAGATATTAAACAAACTATAAACTCCTTAACTGCCCATGAACAGTTCCATTTTAATAGGAAACCAAGCAAGTATGGGACTAAGTTAGTTAATTAATTAGCAAACTAAAATCTTAATATTTTTTTTGAGCTATTTCGAAATCTCGTTAAGATGCAATAGTTGTGTGTATTTAAATTTCATAATACCTACAATAAATATTGAACGCGCGCGCATAAACTGTCATCTATTTTTTTAAATGAAAATCCTGGAAAAATATCAAACAGGCACAGCAATCAAAAGTACTAATGAAGCCACATAGACATAAGCTGACTTTGATGGATAGGTTGCTGCCATTGATAAGGATACGTGGTAGCGAGTGTCTCACAATTTATCAGAGCTAAATACAAACAGCATGTTTCACTCCTAAATTTTACCAACAGGAATGGTTCAATTTTGTTCATACTAATAGGTTATACAATTTATAATAACAATACGAGTAGTTTAGATCTTTGGTCTAATTTTAAACAATAACACAATGATAACCCGTCTTTGCTAAGATTTTGCTTGTATACACATCTTTGATATACTGTTTCAAATGAAAGATCGAGACAAGAACGCAAAATATGCATTACAGAAAGAGTAAGGTACCATGTAGGAAGGGCGCTCAAATATGAAGATACATACGAGGGATAATTTCATAATACAAAGAATGAAAACAGAAGAATCACTATATACCTAATTAATGCTGAGTAAGCTCTTTTAAAGCGCAATTACTTATTGTTACAATGATTATGGCTACTTCGTGTCTTCTTACAATGCTATCAATTTGGTACGACATAGAGCTTTGTCCCATTTTTCCTCCAATTTTCGGATTTCGGCTGTTGGTGTCTCGGGATTGCGTGCCGGAAGCACTGGTGTCTGCAGAATATGGTTAAGAAGAAAGCATGCTGTACATGAGAAACATTTAAAAAATATGGATGGACCGCCCCTCCGCAGCCCCTTACAAAATCAAAAAATGAAATACAATTTCTGATCGATTGGAAGCCGAAATCGGTTATTAATTGAAGAAGTGGGAGAATATCTATTGCTTAACCCACCGTTGTTGTACTTTGTACATTACATATGAGTTTTACATTGCCATGTTATTGCTGAGTTACCAATCGATCTGAAACCAACGTGTATTCCTCAAAAAACTTGTTTTGAACTTAACAAGCAAAACTTTGATTACAGTAAACCCCCGAAAAATGCGGATAATAGGATAAATTTAAATGGAAACCGCGTAAACGGTGTCCATACTACATGGGATTTGACTTAATTGGCTACAACATGGAGTATCTCGAGATCCTGACCAGATAGAAAGTTGCTGTTTCCAAAAAAGTTGTTCATGAGATCATAACTGTTTCGCTGGTGGACAGTAGTTCAGAATTTTCTCACTACGTAGCTAGCATACACATTTTGAAATTATTACCGTATTCGGTAATTTTTTACCAAACTTTCAATAGGACCCGTACAGAAGGTGGAATCACAAAAGGCTGAAGCACAAAAGGCCGAAAATCGAAAATGCCGAAAACCAAAAAGGCCGAAAATTTATCAAAAACTGTATTTGTAGCGAGTTGCGCAAGCAGTTGAATGTGTGTAACTAGAACGTTCAGCAAAACGGACCAAGAGCAATATCGCTGCTAATGACGATTTCCGATTTAAGAATACCTCCCATATTGAATTTCATCTTGAACGAAGCCATCATCGTCATTGCATACTCAAACATCCGAAAAAGTAAAGCTAGCTATCACTTTCTCTCTCATTCAGCATCCGAAGCACGCTATGTCTGAAGGCAAGTGCAACATTTATGTACCTCAGTTTTTTCTTCACAGGATGTTAGTATTGATCTAACAATCAAAAACTATTACGAATTGAGCAAAAGCAGTTAAACAAGGTTCAGAGTTAATTAAAATAATCTTAATGGCATTAAAGAAGTTCTCTTTGACTCCCAAGTAAGATCCATGTTGATTATGTTGACTTTGCGCAGAGTCAATTAATATTTGTTGGTATCGAAACATCTTTTTTAATTTCTCTTTCCTCATAAGAGTATATTTATAGAATTCCACACATATTTATTGACGAATTTCCATGTAAAATTCCACATGATTTTCATGCAAACACACATGAACAGAACCCACCCAGAAGCACACATGAAAGTTATGAGTCAAATGAAAAGTATGTGTGGTTAAACATGGCTTTTATGTGTATACATATTAAGTATGTGTCCGACACATAGATATCATTTGTTGATCACATTGTAAAAATTCATATGTGGGACACATAAAAACAATATTTTAAATTTTATCAGTGTAAAAAAGAAAGAAACGAGCAGGACAGCCATACGTAATCATTATAGATACTATAGATTCCATAGATAAGCGGAGACACAAAAAGTTGTTTTGGCAGCCATGAAAAATAAAAATGATCTTACTGGCATCCGTGAAAAAAGTTCATGCCATCATAGAGCTCTTCGTTGCCCTAATAAAAATGTTATAATTAATTTGCTTAACGACGTGTTCGGGGTATCATCCAAACCATTAGTGGAATAGTTCAACCATTTGGGTTATCGTTCATTTATGGTATTTTTTTATTAGGGTGGGCAGTTTTGTTTTGTTTCGTGCGTAAAAGTTCAAAATGAAATGCAAAGCAAATCTTTGCAACAATGTATCGAGGAATGATTTGCTTTATCTTTCCTTCTTCCATTGTCCACGAAATAAATCGGAATGTGGAGTGAGGAAAGCGTTTTGTGCTCATAATATTGCAATACTTCTCCCTCAAACAACACCATGATGACGTCATGCTTGTTTGGCTACACTAACTGACAGTTCGTTTGGCTACATTATACTTTTCCTCCGCTTATCTATGGAATCTATAGTATCTATAGTAATCATAGTAGGCATTGATTTTGGTCCTGTTGCGAGCGTTTTTTATGGATGTAGGGGTGAACAGGTGGGGCATAGTGAGCATTCCGTGTACCAGCTTGGACTTCCGGCCGTTCGGAACAAATTGGTTGGTGGTAGGATCAATATCATAATGATATTGAACCTACTGCCAGTTGATTTGTTTCATGCAGCTAGAGATCTAGGGCCAAACTACGGGATGCTCACTATGCCCCTCTTCCCCCTACCGTGTAGAAAATCTGGAAAAAATAAAAAAAAAACTCATGAAGAAAATAGAGAGTTTGATTCTTGTACATCGAAAAAGCGAAACGGTAAAAAAATCAAGCCATTTTAGTAACGACGACTGTAGAAATTTTTTTACCGGAGTTCAATAAAGGTATCCGAGGTTAGCTACTCTTGCCCAGTGAGTTTAGGTAGACTATTAGTAGAATTGCTAAAGCTTCATTGCAGTTCCCATATTTTGTCTAAGGAAACATTGAGGAAGGTTCAGCGACTTTCTAGGAAATTCTACGAGTATGGAAATTCTAAAATTCTGTAGTGAATTTTAGGAAAGTTCTTCAAACTTTAAATAAGTTCCTTCAAAGAAGCACAGAAATTCAAGAACTTTCAGATAAGTTAACTGAACTTCAGGGAAGTTCTACAAACTTCAGGAAAATTCTTCAAACTTTAAAGATGTGCTTCGATCTTCAGAGAAGTTCTATAAACTTCATGAAAATTCTGCAAACTTCAGGGACGTTTTGTGAGCTTCAGGAGAGTTCAATGTCCTCCTGGTAAGTTCTACGAACTATAGCAACATTATATGAATTCAATGATGCTCTGTAAAAAGATCTTTAAACGTGAAGAAATTTTTGCAAACTTTAGGATGATCTGTGAACCACAGGGAAAATTTAATAACATTAGGAAAGTACTAAGAACTTTAAGAAATATCTAAGAATTTCAGGAAAAAAATGCCAAACTCAGAGCCATTCAAAGAACATCAGGAAAGTTTGAAGAATTGCATCGAAGTTCCATGAAATGAAGGAAAAACTTATAAACAGGGCTTTGAATTTGAATGTAACTTCTATAAGCTGCCTCATCGGGTCGTTGGTGGAACAACTGCCAGTCCATGTCTTAGAAAACAGGTATAATAGAGAGAATTTCTTGCGATATCTCTTTCTCTTTTACGCTTCCCTTGTGATCGAGCGCATGAGCAGGCTGGAAGGGCGTAAAAAAGAGAAAAAATTATCGTGTGTACGGCTCACGCATGTTACATTGTCGTTTACCGGTATAAAAAGGAGCAGTTTATAAAAACTGAGGTTCACAAGTATCCAAAAAAATTAAGTTAACAAGAAGTTCAAACCAAACTCGACAGTCAAAGTTGTGCGGGTGTGTAGATATTTGTAAGTAAAAACACCGCAGAAAAAAAAGAAATTCGATGCAGGTTTGTCCTGCATTCTTAGCTACGATTACCTATAATTACCGATAAGTATCGTTACTTTTTACTTTAAATAGGCTATTTAGTACAATCAATTAAGTAATTTTTAACGTTAATTATTGGTAATCGATGATTACCGATAATTTAGGTATTTGCACTTTCTTCGAATATCGGTCATTTCTAACGATATCTAGGTATTCTTTACCAACTTTGAGGTATGTGCATCTTAGCGTGTGGAAAACGTCATGCATGTAGTGAAAACCGGAGACTTCAGAATCTCTACGAATCGGCAGACGAAAGTAAGGATCAACCAGGCAAAACACTAGCCGAGGCGAGGGGGGCGACACATCTAAATCTCAAGTTTAGATGCTCAACAAATCTCACACTAGCGAATCAATCTTCGAAAAATCTTCTTTCATTTGTCGCATCTACTTGCATCGCTCATCATCTTTTGGCAGGAAATCTTCAGAATCGTCATCAATCTTCTTTCTATCTACTCAGCGTGCGCGCAGCTAGCCACAGCAAAACACAATCTTTTTTGCATCGTAGATAGAGTCGTCCCCCTCGAGCCGAGGTTAGTTTTTAAAACATCGCAGTAAGACCAATGGGTTTAAATTTGAAACAGTCAGGAAAAAATAATCTATGATTGCTCACGAAAATTTACTCAGCATTAAGAAAGATCTCAATCTGAGTTTTAATAAGGTCAGTATGTGTTGGGTATCGGCTCTTCTTCTTCTTCTTATTCGCATTTCAAGCTTATTGCTTAGCGCATATTAGCTTCTTGCGTGCTCTCAACTTAGTGTTCTAAATGCACTTCCACAGTTATTAATTGAGAGATTTCGATGCCAATACCAATGCATGAATTTGTATATTGTGTGGCAAGCACAATGATACTCTATGCCCAGGGAAGTCGAGAAAATTTCTAACCCGAAAGATTCCCTCGACCGGACCGGGAATCGAACCCGCCGCCTCCGGCTTGGTAATACCGTGCCTTTACTGACTAGGCTATGAGGCCCCTATCGGCTCTTACCTCCTTCGATTGGCAGTGGATATCATCCGCCGACTCCAACACTGCTTGGGGGGCGAGACCGGTTGGTTAATTACCGCCTGTGTTCTGGTTGGCTGCTGGTAGTTTTCCTTGGGGAAGTGAGGTGCGGGGATACTGGACGTAATGGCGATTGGATTTCCTCTGGTCTCTTCGGAACCATCCGGTTGATGTTTCTCCCAAATTAGTACACTGGGCAATCACTTGGTTTGGCAAACTCGCGACCCAAGTATAAAACTACATTTATTCCCTTTACTACATTTACTACACAGAACAACAACTTAACTCTAACATTTTAAAATGTTCGTCCCCGATGGGAGCATCGACCGTCTTCAACGGCTACCGAAACCAACTAAATTCAAACTCGCTATCTGGTCATCGCTTGACCCATGATCGCGTAGACCAAATCTCCCTCTCGCGCTGTACAAATCTCCGTCCATTCGGTCCATCCTCGCTTCGAACAGTTTTCGCTCGTCTCATCTGCCGCTCTCGATGCCGACCGACCGTAGGTAGCTGGATG